TGTGTAGCTACGGGACAGGGCTTGGGGGTGTGTGGGGGGTGTGTGGGTCCGGGGTTAGACATAGGCTCAGATTCAGTTTCAAGTCGGCGTTTTAACGAATTTTCGCCGACGCCATTTCCTACTTAGCGGCATTTTGATACAGCCGTCAGAGTGATTTTCAGCAATTCTCGTCGACCAATTTCCAGAAGTGCCGCGCTGCACACCGACAATGGCTTACTCAACCACTTCACTCGCCAACCCGATCCCGCTCCTTCGTCTCGAGCCAGACGGCACATGCTCCAACTACAAGGCTTGGCGCTATGGTGTCGACAAGCACCTCCTCAGTCGCGAGGTGAAGGGGCTCGAGCTCACCGACGTCCTTCTCAACATCGGTGACGACAAAGAGCCTCCTAAACCCGAGAGGTCCGCCGATCCAGCTAATGCCGGCGCCGAAGCAGTTTATGCTGCTGCACTGCTCAAGTACAAGAATTGGGAGAAGGCCGATGGTGCGGTCATTAGTATCTTCATGGGCACCACTCCTCCCGAACTCGTCGAAACCTACCACAACTACCCGTCTGCCAACGCCATTTGGCTCTACCTCGAAGATCGCTTCCTGAACAAGACTGCAGTGGGAGTTGCTATACTCATCCCCAGCATGTTCCAAGAGCGGCTCGAGGACTCGCCAAGCATGGCGGACTATGTCACCAAGGTGCAGTCCATTCATGGTGAACTCAAAAAGTTGGGGATAGTCTTCCCCGAGCAAGCCCCTGCAGCCGCTCTCCTAGTAGGTCTCACTCCGGCATACGAAGTCACACGCAAGATGCTCTTGGGCCTTGCTCCTGCAGACCTCACATTTGCCAAGGTCTCATCCGCGCTCCTTTCTGCCGAAAAGGACAACAGCGCTCAAGCCAAGGCCAATGCAATCCGCACTCCCGTGCCTCAAGCCTATGCCGCTTCGGCGCCATTCCAGCGCAACCGCTTCCCCTCGTGTCCCTACGTCATCAAGCGCAGCCCTCGTGCTGGCCAGGTGTGTGGCAGCACCAACCACGCCCTTGCCTCCTTCTTCAAGAAAAAGGATGACGAGTGGTATGCCGTCAATGGGACCGCCTCCAAACCGCCAAGCTGGATGGTCAATCGTGCTCCTCGCCAAGTCAATCAAGTCGAAGCGCAGGAATCCGTGCAGGCTGCTGTGGCTGCACCTGCTATTGTGCGCCTCAACATGTTGTTCCCTGGCACTGCCATGATTAATGAGACGATTTCGCAGTATCCTGGCTCACAAAGAACCTCAGCTACAATAGAGTTCACCCTCGACAGTAGGGGCATTCACACGGTTCTCAAGGAACAACACTCCTTCAAGCCATACGAGACACCAATCCGTCTACTTGGAGCAGACTCCAGTTTCACAACACACGCCAAGGGCTCCTCCACAGTTCCGTGCCCAGCTTTTCCTTCGGGCAGTGTGACTGGCATGTGTGTTCCCACACTACGCCACAATCTCGTGGCCCAACACGAGCTCCAACGGGCAGGCGTCACCACAATCTTCCCAGCACACTCGGATCACTGTGACCTCTTCGATCCTAAGTCCAACAAGCTCCTAGCACGCTTCACACTCAACAGCGGCAAGCTCTACACGCTGCGTTCACCTGCACCTCTCGCCGCTCTCTCCCAAGCGCAAGCTGCCAGCACCACTCCGTGTTCGTGTCGCAGCTTCGCCAACCCAACCATCCTCTACCACCATCGCTTGGGTCACCCCAACTTCCGTACACTTGCCGACATCGCTTTCAAGAAACTTCTTCTTGGCCTCCCGTCGGCGCTTCCTCCACCAACAGACTCGCCTGCACCCACCTGCCTGGACTGCACCAAGAGCAAGCTCAGGCAGCAGCCGCACCCTTCCTCCCCATCCGTCGCAGCTGCTCTGCTGGACCTAGTGCCCATGGATGTCTGGGGCCCAGCTCCAGTCGCATCCCGAGGCGGTCATCGGTGCTTTCTTACGCTAGTCGATGACCACTCGCGGTATGTTTCTGTGCACCTCCTGCATACCAAGGCAGAGGCACTTGATGTCATCATGGAGTGGGTGCGCCAGGCTCAAGTCACGTTCGGCACTCCTCTGAAGTCCCTCCATTCTGATGGCGGGGGAGAATTTCGCAATGATTATGGGGATCACAACTGGGTGAGGTTGGGATTTGTGAGTACACCCCAACCCACTAGAACATTCACAGCCTAAACTAGGATATAAAAATACAAATACAAAAGTGGTATTTGCAGTCTATTTCTAACAACTACTAGTCCAGCTACTGGAGAGAAGGCCACAAGGCCAGTCAGACAGGTATATATAGTAAAGAATACACAATCAGGGTCCGAACAAGTGAGTAGCTACAGGAACAAGACCAAGCTGTACGCAGTGCCGCTGATGATCTTTAGGCGCAAGCGCCTTAGTAAAGATATCAGTTGTGTTGGCACCGGAGGCCAAGTTAGCTACACGGGCCTGGCGACGCTGCTGTAGCTCACCCAGGAGGAAGCACCGCAGCTGGATATGCTTCACTCTGCCCTCAAGCCGAGGCTCCTGACACAGGAGGATCATGGCCCTATTGTCAGCGTACAGGACCGGGGCAGAGCTAGGCCGCTCACCTAAGTCAGTGAGCAAGAAGGTCAGCCAGCGGAGCTCCTGTGCCGCCATGGCACCAGCGTAGATCTCAGCCTCACAGCTAGACTGAGCAACATACGACGAGCGAGTGGATCTCCAAGAGATAGCACCCGAACCAAGACTAAAACAGTAGCCTTGAGACGACCTGAGAGTCTCAGAGTCGTCTGCCCAAGAAGTGTCTGTGTGCCCAATGAGGACCACCGGCCTACGTCCTCCTAGCACTAACCCCATGCCCGATGTACTTGCTAGATATCGCACAACCCTCTTAGCGGCCGACCAGTGCTGTGGCCGGTGTCTGCCAGTGGCCACAAAGCGAGCCAGGATGCTCAGAGGTATGCAAGATCTGGGCGAGTGCAAGTCATCAGGTTCATGAGGCAACCCACCAGCTCTGCGTAGGGTCAACTGGGCTCTACTGGCTCCTCAGGAACGGGAGCGGAGAGCCCATGGTCTACAGGTAGAGGTGTGGGCTGTGCGGAGGAGAACAAAAGAATAATCCTTTGAAGGACCTGACGCACCAAGTGTGACTGTGTTTGAGTGATGGTGCGTGCTGCTCTGTCCCTGGAGATCTGCAAGCCAAGATAGCGACGCAGCTCTCCAAGGTCAGTGCAGGTGTGTCTCTTCAGCAGCTCGGCCTTCACAGAGGCCAGTGCGTCCCTGTTAGCAGAAGCAAATACCAGGTCATCTACGTAGACAAGGATGTAGAACGGAGTCTGGCCGGAACGCACAAAGAGCGAGGGGTCAGCAGAGGACGGAATGAACTGCAGGTCTGCTAACGTGGCACGCAGCGTGTCGTGCGACTCGCGAGGAGTCTGACGCAGGCCGTAGACCGGGCGCCGGAGAAGCCACTGGGTCCCAGGGGGAAAGGTACCAGTAAAGCCCTGAGGTCGACGCAGGTAGAACTGCTCGTGTAGGCTGCCCTGAAGAAAGGCAGTAGAGAAGTCGAGGGAGTGAAGCTCGTAGTCGCCCTGTGCTGCTACGAGTAGCAGCGCCCAAAGAGTGGTCATCTTCGGGGTCGGGGCGAAGGTCTTGATGAAGTCAACCCCCTCGCGCTGGCAGAAGCCTCTGGCCACGTAGCGTGCCTTGAAGACAGGCGGCTCTCCAGGGGGGCGCTTCACCTTGAAGAGCCACCGACCATCGACTACGTTCACCCCAGGCGGGGGAACTGCGTCGACGTAAGTGCCGGTGGACCTCCAAGATGCCATCTCCTTCTCCATGGCAGCTATCCACTGAGAGGCCCAGTGTCCCGAGGTGGCCTCAGCGTAGGTGCGAGGGGTCGAGATGTCGAAGGCGTCTGGGTCACCCTCAGGGACTAGGAGCATGGAGCAGAGATGGGGAGCGGCCTCGGAAAGGAAAGCAAGCTCGTATTGCCTGTCCTCTAGTACGTCACTGCCAAGGGCAGGTGCACCCCCGACGGACGGAGGACGGGTAGGGTCAGAGACCAGAGCGGTAGCGTAGTCAAGGCGGCAGGTAGAGGCGAAGTCAGCGACAGCAGCAACAAGCGCGTCAAGGCTAGAGATAGGAACAGACGGGTCTATAACAAGAGAGGCAAGGACCCGAGGGACAAGGGGACTGGCGGCACGGAGTTAGTCAGACAGCGGGGGAGGTGCAACAACGAGCGACAAGGGAGGAGGGGAGGACGAGACGAGTGAGAACGGAGTAACATAGGATGGGAGCGCAGGACAGGGGAGACGGGACGAGCACGTGAGGGACGGCGAGACCAAACGTGGGACGGAGGTGTAGGGTCAGCAAACAGCGGAGGGGACACAAGGGGGGAACGAGGAGGAAGACGGGCCAGAGAAGAGTCCAGGGGCGGGAACACAGGGCCGTAGACAGGAAGGTGAGGAGGAGGTGGGGGAGACACCGGCGAGCGGTCAGCGGAGGGAAGGCCGAGCAGGCGAAGAGCGGAGACCGGCGGCGACGACTGCGGCGGCTGCTGCGGCGGCTGGTGCTCGACCCTCGAACCGGCACGGGCACGACGACCTATGGGAGAACACTCAACAGCAGCAACCCCAGAACCAACACCCTAAGAGCGAGAACCCTCTCCAGCCCCAGTGGCACCCCCAGGCCCGCCGGGACAGACCACGCCAGGAGCCGAAGGACGAACACCCTCCTCAGCGCTTGCACCCCCAGAGGCCAAGAGCGGCAGCGGCTGTTATAATCACAATAGGCTTAGATGTGCCTATAATGAGAGATAGAGAGCACAGTCGGATTTCCGTCAGACGGCTTCAAATATTGATAACGATCTGGTCACTGAATCAAACGGTAATCTGTAAGTTGGATCTGGAGCGCGGTGCTGTCGTCTATCAGCAGTAAGTTGAATCATGAAATTCCATGAAGATTTGACGACGCTATGGCGGTTTGACTGGCAGGAGGTATAGCAGCCACTATAGTCTTAGGAGTACAAACTTAGCAAGAAGAGTTCGAGAGGGAAATGGTTCCCAGCCTCTACATACCCCAAGAGCCGAGGTCCAGGTTGGTGGTACACCACCACAGGGTCCCCAACCATGAAGAGTCTCGAAACCAACCCTCCAAGGGGCTACGCCAAGTGAAATGTAACACTACACGAAGTAACGTTACTATTTTCACTATTTAATATTTATCCGCGTCCCTTGGGCTTGAAATCTTGAGCTCTTGTTCCTGGATCTGCAAGATAAATTCTTCTTGAGTTGATGGGGGCCTGCTGCACACACCTGCAACACGATGGACACTTCACACTCGACAAAATAGAAAAAACACATGCGACACACAAACGACGACTTGACATGCGAGTTGTAAAAACTCGCTAATGTCTTGACCGACACAAACCACATTGTGATACACCATTCAAACACACACACAAGCACTGGATAGCAATGACATAGACTCACAATTCATTCCATGCCATGCATGCACACACACAGACAAGGACGACAAGCCGAGTGCAAGCTATAGGGTTGCACCAACAAACTCCCCCTCGGATTGTTGGCCTTAGAATCTGCTCCCCTTAGTTCAGAGCCATCCCAGCAAGCTTGCAACACTTCCAATGCTGCTGCTCAACCAGCCTCTTGGTCATCATATCAGCTGGCTGCGCCGTCGTCTTCACGTAGTGCAACTCCACTTCACCCGCGGTTACCATGCTCCTCACCCAATGCCACTTCACCTTCATGCACTTGGTAAGGCCATGAAGAACGGGGTTTTTAGCCAATGCAATAGCACCCTGGCTATCACAGTAGAGTGGGGTAGGTCCTTGCTGCTCCTCCCCCAATTCAGCTAGCAAACACCGCTGCCACACAACCTCTCTTATGGCACGGAAGAGTGCCATGTACTCGGACTCCACCGAGCTCAATGCTTGGTCCACTTGCTTCTTGCTCTCCCAAGCTGTTGGCCCTCCACCAACACAGCAGATGAAGCCTCCCACACTTGTCATGTCCTCTGGTTCTGATGCCCAAGATGCATCAGAGAAGGCGGTGAGAAAGAGCCTCCCAGGTTCGACTCCATCCGCCCCCTTTTGACGCCTTTGTGGCGCCGCGGAGTATTGCAGTCCAACAGTTGCTGTTTGGCCAAGGTACTTGGCCACTCTCTCTCCAGCTGCTACCTGCTCTTCATTAGGGCATTGGACAACCCTAGCCAGCTGCCCGGTAGCAAAGGCTGCATCCGGCCTTGTGTGAACGGCCGCATACATGAGGCTGCCCACCAAGGAGTGAAAACGGCGCCTCTCCTCATCACCAACACTTTCCTCCACTGGTCCTTTCACACACTTGAACCCTGAGGGAAGAGGAGTAGCCACATGACCTTCACTCTTCCCAAAGTTTGCAGCCAAGGCCTCCAAGTACTTCTTTTGATGCACTCGCATCCACCGCTTCTCCACATCTCGCTCAATGTGAAGCCCAAGGTAGTAGTTGACGTCACCAAGGGTCTTGCACTTGAACTTGTCTTGAAGCTTCAGCATCACCTCCTTCACAAGGTCAGAGGAGGGTGAGAATATGAGGATGTCATCCACATAAACCACCATGAAGCTCCTCTGCTCCCCCTCGCCAAGCATGAACAACGATTGATCGGCCGTTGAGGGAGTGAAGCCGATCGCCTCCAAGACTTCCCGCAGCTTGATGTACCATTGCCTAGGGGCTTGCTTGAGGCCATAGAGTGCTTTCTTCAGCTTCCACACTCTGCCACTCCCATCATTGTACCCCTCTGGCTGCTCCATGTAGGTTTCTTCCTCCAAAACGCCGTTGAGGAAGGCCGTTACGATATCCATTTGCTTCACCACCCATCCTTTGATGGCCGCCGCGGCGAAGAGGGTTCGAAGGGTTGTACCCTTCACCACAGGAGCATACACTTCATTGTAGTCCTTCTTCTCTTGCTGCTGATACCCCTTGGCTACAAGTCTGCTCTTGTAGCGCTCGATGTTGCCGTTGGCGTCGGTCTTGCGCTTGAAGAGCCACTTGGAAGAGATCGCCTTCCGCCCCGGAGGTAGGTTCACCAAGTCAAACGTGTCGTTCTCGATGATGCTCCCCATTTCTTCATCTGAGGCCTTCTTCCACTCCTTCCCATTGGGGCCCTCCCAAGCCTCCTTGGGATTTGTAGGCTCCCCCGGTATCTCCACCGGAGAGAAGAAGGCAAAAGCGCACTCCTCGCTTTCATCTTCCGCATCATCGCCTAGCATGAGAGCCGAACCGGTCAAGGTTGAGTTGGCTGGTCCTCCAAGCCGTTCATAGCTCAACCTATTGGGGGGCTGAGTCCTCCTTCTCCCCCTTCCTTCCTCCTCTGCTGCAGGGACTTGAATGCTCTCATGGCTTTGCGGTAAGTCCGGTCGGTTCCCGCGAGCACTTGTAGCACGAGGCGGAAGTGGCGGTGCACGCTCATTACCTTGCTGCACCTCCTCCTCCTCCTCATCCCCATTCATTTGGGGAGATTGCCTCGTGATTGTGCTGCTGCTACTCAGCTCCAAGGGCAGCTCCACATGCTCCAAGCCGGTCCTCTTCACCTCTCCAAGCCGCACACCAATCTTCGCTTGGTTCTCCGCCTTCCACTCCTTGTACGGTAAGTTCTCCATGAACTTGCAATCTCTGCTCACCAGAAACTTCTTGGTAAATGGGTCCCATAGAAGCCATCCCTTGCTGTTTTGGGCCATGCCCAGGTGCACGGCCCATGTTGCCTTGGCATCAAGCTTGTTGTGCCGAAGTTTCTTAGGCACAAGTGCCATGCACATGCACCCGAACACCCGAAGCATATCCACCTTCGGCTTCCTTCCAATCCACTCCACATAGGGCACCCATTTGTCTTCTCCCACATGAGTCAAGGCTCTGTTCTTGGCCACACAAGCATGCCGCACCGCATCCGGCCAAAAGTAATTGGGAAGACCGGCTTCAATGAGAAGTCCCCGAGCCGTCTCCGTGAGTGTCCGATTCGCACGCTCGGCGATGCCGTTCATTGCAGGAGAGTAGGGCATGGTAAGAGAGTGCCTTATGCCCTGCTTCTTCAGCCAAGTTGAGAAATCCTTGCTCAGGAACTCTCCCCCACGGTCAGTCCGAATCGCCTTCACAAGTCGGTCTTGTTGCCGCTCCACCATCGGCAACCAATCGGTCTTCACCGTTTCAGCTACGTCACTCTTCTTCGGCAGCACATACACCCAAGTCATGCGAGTGTAGACGTCCACAATGGTGAGGAAGTACTCAGCTCCAGCAGCTCCAAGCTTCAAGGGGCCCACCACATCCATCACCACCTCATCAAGTGGTGCCTTCGCCGTTGTCTCCGAGCTATGGAACGGGTAGCGGGTGAACTTGGCTTGCATGCATGTTGGACAGCCAAGCACCTCATTGGGCTCCCCCTTGACACGTATCCCACTGACCATCTCTTGCTTAACTATCTGCTGCAAAATGGGCAATGCCACATGCCCCATTCGCCGATGCAAGGTCAGCCAATCACACTCTCCCATAGCCGAAGTCGGGTTGGAGAAAGCGGCACTCGCAATCGTGCCCCACAAGCTCTCTCCTTTCTCCTTCGCCGCTGCTGCTTTCCTGATCTTAGGTTTCCCCTCCTCATTTCCACCACCTTTGGCTGCTGCACCACTCTCCTTGGGTTCACACGCCTTGCTGGTCTCTCCAAGATTGCACTCCTTCGAGTCACTCTTGGTGTCACTTTGTTTTCCGTGATCACCGCCACCATCCGCTTCACTCTTGGTGCTGACGCTTGCTGCCACTTGCCTCTCCTTAGGCATGGGGACCACTGGGATTTGCCACATCTCATTGTAGATGTCCCTGTCCTCATGAAGGTCCCAAAGCTTCCGCTCACCAAGCCTCGCGGTATATGTTTTCGAACCCTTGGAAGATGTGTCCATGCCGGCCTTTTGCAAACGCCGAACGGAAATCAGGTTGGCTGCTAGGTTGGGCACCAAAAGCACGTTCTTGAGGCCCACCATCTTCCCATCAGCACCCTTGAACATGGCCTTGCCCATGCCTTTCACCTCTGCTCGCTGCCCCAAAGCCGATGTAACATGCTTGACCGGCGACGGTTCGAGTTCGGTGAGCAAGTCCGCACGAGGTGTCATGCTATAGGTGGCGCCGCTATCGATCACCCAAAAGTCCAGAGAGTGAAGGGTGACCTTTCCCACAGTAGCTGGCTCCTCAAAGCCTTCCACACCTCCTGCTGCAGCTGCCGCTTGCGTGGAGACAAAGAAGAATTGGCCCGGGTATCGATCTTCACTCGAGTCCTTGTCGTAGTCTCCACCTTTCATGCTTGCCGCTTCGCCTCCACGGCCACCACGGCCTCCACGACCTCTGCCTCTTCCTCCCCTTGCTCCTCTTCCCTCTTGGCCTTGAAAAGGGGTCCATCCATCAGGCAATCTGAAGCAATCTCTCCACATGTGGCCGGTCTTGTGGCAAAAGTGGCATTCGCCATCAAATCGACCGCGCCCACGCCCGTAGCCATTGTTGTTGTTGTTGCTGCCATATCCTCCATTACCACGGCCTCCATTGAAGTTGTTGCTGCCAAATCTGCCTCCTCGCCCTCTGCCCCTTCCACGGCCGTGCCCACGGCCCATGCTTGCAACTCCGGCACCATCGGGACCCGCCAATTCGCGACGGCGGAAATCTTCTTGTAAGATTTCCCGCTTCACATCTTCGAGTGAGAGACGGGGCAGATCTCGATTAAGGTTGATGATGAGCGAGGACCATGAGTCCGGAAGTAAGGCCAACAGCTTGGTCTTCTTTTGAAGGTCACTGTAGTTCAGGTCAGCTCCTTCGAGCCGTGTCAACAAGTCGAAGAATTTCTGCACTCCTTCCTCCACCGGTTCGCCTTCGTCAATTCGAAGTGCCGCCATTTGCCGCTCCAAAACCACAGCCACCGCCGCTGTTGCAGGAGCGTGTACACCCTTGAGAGCAGCCCATGCCTTTGGTCCCTTTGCTGGTTCACGCTGAAAAGGCTTGATGTGACGGATTTGGCTGCTCCCCAACGCTTGCCCAAGTAGAAGGTTGCCTTGTGCGCTCTTCCGCACCCACGGGCTCTTCTCTGGGTCGTTCTCGGGGCGCTTCTCCGTTCCTTCCATCACCTCCAGCAGATCATAATGGTCAAAGATGTTCTCCATCTTGAAGGACCACTCAGCAAAGTTGTCACCGTTGAACTTGTCAAGGCCAAACACTCTAGGCTCATCCCTAGAGGGTCCAAGGCTAGGTTGCACCGGAGCAACGGGTGGATCTTGGTGTTGACCTTGTGCTTGGGCGTCTTCTCTGCCTCCAACACCTCTGCCACCCCCTTCCTCAGGCCTAGGCATGGTCGAGACAGCTCCAAGGGGCTCTGATACCACTTGTTATAATCACAATATGCTTAGATGTGCCTATAATGAGAGATAGAGAGCACAGTCGGATTTCCGTCAGACGGCTTCAAATATTGATAACGATCTGGTCACTGAATCAAACGGTAATCTGTAAGTTGGATCTGGAGCGCGGTGCTGTCGTCTATCAGCAGCAAGTTGAATCATGAAATTCCATGAAGATTTGACGACGCTATGGCGGTTTGACTTGCAGGAAGTATAGCAGCCACTATAGTCTTAGGAGTACAAACTTAGCAAGAAGAGTTCGAGAGGGAAATGGTTCCCAGCCTCTACATACCCCAAGAGCCGAGGTCCAGGTTGGTGGTACACCACCACAGGGTCCCCAACCATGAAGAGTCTCGAAACCAACCCTCCAAGGGGCTACACCAAGTGAAATGTAACACTACACGAAGTAACGTTACTATTTTCACTATTTAATATTTATCCGCGTCCCTTGGGCTTGAAATCTTGAGCTCTTGTTCCTGGATCTGCAAGATAAATTCTTCTTGAGTTGATGGGGGCCTGCTGCACACACCTGCGACACGATGGACACTTCACACTCGACAAAATAGAAAAAACACATGCGACACACAAACGACGACTTGACATGCGAGTTGTAAAAACTCGCTAATGTCTTGACCGACACAAACCACATTGTGATACACCATTCAAACACACACACAAGCACTGGAGAGCAATGACATAGACTCACAATTCATTCCATGCCATGCATGCACACACACAAACAAGGACGACAAGCCGAGTGCAAGCTATAGGGTTGCACCAACAGCGGCGGCGGCGGCGGCGGTGGCTGCGACGGCGGCTGCTACGGCGGCAGTGGCGGCGACGACGGCGGCGACTGCGACAGCGGGGGCGGAGACACTAGGGAAGGGGGGCGCGGCAAAGGCGGGGCGGGGGGACCACCAGAGTCAGCAGACTACTCAACGGGGACAACTGACGGGAGGGGAGTGACATGGGAGACCCCAGACGGGGCAGGATGAGGCAGGAGGGGAGGAGGGGCTACCGGGGGAGAGGGGGCAAGGAACAGGGGGGGGGGAACCGGGAGACCTCGGTGAGGGAAGCGACGGTAGAAAGAGACGGACTCGTCAAAGGTGACGTCACGAGAGTGAAGGAAGCGGTGAGACTGCGGGTGGTAGAAGAGCTAGTCAGACGAGTCCAAGGGGAAACCAAGGAAGACACAGGGGACAGTGCGGGCAGTGAGCATGTCCGTGCCAGAGGCACGAACGTGAGCAAGGCAGCCCCATACGTGGAACGCAGACGCGTCACCGGGGGACCCGATTCAAAGTAGGGTCGGCGAAACCTGCGGCTGCTGGGAGAGTGGCCACAAGTTAAGCTGGTGAGCGGCGTAGCGAACGGCGAACGGCCACAGAAAATGGGGTGCACCGGCATGGATCATGGAGGTACGAGCCACCTCCATGACCAAGCCGATGCGGTGCTCAGCAACCCCATTCGTCTGTGGCGAGTCTGGCAAGGTGTACAACTGGGTGATGCCCTCCGCATGACAGAACTGTCCAAGCCGACCAGAAGCGAACTCGCCGCCACAGTCAGAGTGGAGACACAACACGGAGAGACCGCGGTGAAGATGCGCAGCCACAACCCACGAGAGAAGAACGTCGGGCATGTCGGCCTTCCGCTCCAGGGGAAACACAGTGGTGTAGCGCTTGTAGTCGTCGACGAGCACAAGAAAGTAGCGCTCGTCACGCGGTCCGGGGACAGGGGCTGGGCCCCAAACGTCCAGGTGCAGGGTCTGAAGGGGAGCAGTAGCTGGGCGAAACGAGGAGGAGTGAGGGGCACGGCGGAGCCGGCCCTCGACGCAGGGTGTGCACGGTGGAGCAGGCGAGAGGGGAAGGGTGGGGAGCGACGCGGGGAGGCTTAAGACAAGACCGTGCTGGAACATGTGACGCAGACGCGGGAGTGCAGGGTGACCTATGCGGTGGTGCCACAAAAGGGACGGGTGAGTGAGAGACCGACACGAGCAAGCTGCAGCGACCTGGGAGGACGCACCAATCGGTGGGGGAGTGGTGTCGAGGGTAAACAGACCGGACACCGGGTCCCGGGGGAACGTCGCAAGGGGGGAACGTGTGGCAGCCTCAGTACAGACAGCAAACCGCTCGTACCCAAGAAACGTGGTGGTGACGCCGAGGTCCTGAAGACAGGCGACACCAACCAGGTTCCTAGAGAACGAGGGAACGTGGAGGCCTGTAAGGGAGCCGGAGGGAACGGCAGGACAGGGAAGGGAAGTGGAGCTACGAGCGACGACAGGACCAGCAGAGGGGTCGGCGAGTGCGATAACAGCAGGCGCAGCAAGCGGTGCGAGCGTGGAGCGGTCGCGGAAGAAACAGGCAGAAGCACCGGAGTCGAGAGTGAAGGACAGCGAGGTAGTGGCGGAGGCTGGGAACGGAGCCGATGCAGAACCTAGGCTAGGCAAACTAGGCAGTCCTAGGCCTGACGCAGCAGGGGAGGCTAAGCTACACAAGGGTGAGACACCTAAACTAGAGTACACATGGTAATAAGATCCAGCAACACTAGAAGCGTCAGCATACAAAGCATGCAAAGCAGCACCTATCTGATCCATATCTAACTCAAAGATCGGCACGCCCTGGCGAAGCAGGCTGTGCCAGTCGGGGAGGTCCGGGGCCGGGCCAAAGCGACGACAAAAGAGATCGTCGAGGCGGCGGAAACAGCGGGCGGTCGGGTGCAGGCGGCGGCACAGAGTGTCGCGGAGAGGCCCGATCTGAAGCTGGTACTGGCACGTCACAGCACTGGAACTGCCGGTAGACACCAAGCTGCGCGGGCCACCACCTCGGCCACCACCGCCGGAGGTGCCGGGCCAACCAGGTGGGAGACAAGCCCACGGCTGCGACGGCGGCGGCTGCTGCTGGGGCTGCTCCGGCTGCGAAGGCAACTGCGTCTGCTCCTGCCCACCTATGGTAGTCCCCTCAGGTGGACTACCGTCACCACCACCAGTGCCACCACCACGACCTCCCTGGCGGCCACAGCCACCGTGGCGACCGCAGCCGAAACGTCTCGGTAAGAGGGGTCGCAGTGGCGTCTGCAGCCGAAACGTCAGTAAACGTGCACTGAAAGGGGGCACAGCCGTGAAAGATAGAGACTGTCGGCGCACCGCTCGACTGAGCGATAGTGCGCTGGCGCGTCTCGATCTCGGTGAGGGTGTCGACAAAGGCGATCAGTGTGAGGTCACCCGGGTGCTGGCTAAGGAAGCGGTCGCGGGCACTAGCTAGGCGGTCCGGCAGGCGCATGGCGATAAAATAGAGGGTCATGCAGAATGGGGGGGCGAGCGCAGTGAGCTGGGCACCAGTGCTGGCAGTGCGATAGCGAGTCTCTAGGGCACGCAAGTGAGTGGCAAAGTCTGCGACAGTAGGGAAGGCAGCAAGGTCTAGGAACAGCATCGGGAAGAGCAGGCGGCCGGCAGAAGCGGATGCAGGTGTGGAATAGCGAGCAATAACAGCGTCTAAATAAGCTTTGGCCGTATCAACCGTATCGAAACGCGAGCGCTCAGACACAGGGAGGGCGTGACTGATAGCAACCTGAGCTACTGCATCGCGTAAGTCCCAGACCGCACTGGCAAGCGCAGCAGTAGAGAAAACCTCACTCTCAGCGGAGGTGGGGTCAGCAGGGAGGGGAGCAGGTGTAGGGGGGCGGGGGAGCAAGCCATCAGCATGGACAACCAGCAAGTGTCCATCCTTGCGCTGACCTGTAAGCTGACGGCGGAGATCGGAGAGCCAGGCGGCGAAGTCAACCGCGTGGCCCTCAGCGTCCAGGCGGAGCACGAAGTCAGCCATCGTGCAGGGTCAGCGACACGGCGGCACAGCTCCACAGCTCTGCAGGAGCACAGCGGCACGGGGACACGGCGGCAGCACTCTTCAGTAGGGCGGCTGCAGGGGCGCCCCAGCGCGGGCTAGCAGAGGACATGGGGCCCGAGGTGGCACGGCAAGCCGAGCAGGCACGAGGAGGGGCCGGGCGGGCAGGAGGAGGGGCCGGGCGGTCGCACTGGGACCGGGCGGGCGCTAGGAGGGGCCTAGCACGCGCGGGGCGGCCGGGCAGGCGCGGCTGGGGGCCGGGCGGGCGCGAGGAGGGGCCGGGCGGGCGCTGCTGGGGCTGGCTAGGAGCGGGCTCGACGGTCAGTGGGCCGGCCAGGAGCGGGCGCATGGGGCCAGGGGGGGCCAGCTAGGAGCGGCCGCGACGATCAGTGGGGCCAGCTAGGGGCGGGCGCAAACGGCCAGGGGGCCGGCTAGGAGCGGGCGCAAACAGCCAGGGGGCCGGCTGGGGGCGGACGTGACGGCCAGGGGGCCGGCTAGGGGCGGACGTGACGGCCAAGGGGCCAGCTAGGGGCGGACGCAACGGCCAGGGGGCCGGCTAGGGGCGATCGCGACGGCCAGGGTGGCCAACTAGGGGCGAACGCGACGGCCAGGGGGCCGACTAGGGGCGGACGCGACGGCCAGGGGGGCAGCTAGGGGCGGACGCGACGGCCAGGGGGCCGACTAGGGGCGGACGCGACGGCCAGGGGGCCAGCTGAGGGCGGACGCGACAGCCAGGGGGCCGACTAGGGGCGGACGCGACGGCCAAGGGGCCAGCTAGGGGCGGACGCGACGGCCAGGGGGCCGGCCAGGGGCGGTCGCGACGGCCAGGGGGGCCAGCTAGGGGCGGACGCGACGGCCAGGGGCCGACTAGGGGCGGACGCGGCGGCCAGGGGGCCAGCTGAGGGCGGACGCGACAGCCAGGGGCCCAGCTAGGGGCGGACGCGACGGCCAGGGGCCCGACTAGGGGCGGACGCAACGGCCAGGGGGCCAGCTGAGGGCGGACGCGACAGCCAGGGGGGCGACTAGGGGCGGACGCGACGGCCAAGGGGCCGACTAGGGGCGAACGCGACGGCCAGGGGGGCCAGCTAGGGGCAGACGCGATGGCCAGGGGGGCAGCTAGGGGCGGACGCGACGGCCAGGGGGCCGGCTAGGGGCGGACGCGACGGCCAGGGGGCCGGCTAGGGGCGGGCGAGAGACTAGGGCGCGGGCAGAAGCGGGCGGGTGAACCTAACCTACTCGATACCATGTTAGAATACGTGAATGAATTACTAGAAGGGAAAACATGACACATATAGCAGTTGGGTTGTACTCACTAGGAGCACGCACCGATACTAGCCTATAGCTTCTACATGCATAACATATATGAGTTGACAGGGTAGAGGTAGTATTTCAACTAGCATATGCATAGCTTATGTATATATAACAATGTGGTACACCATACAATACTAGCGATTGTCATGATTTACAATGATGTTAACTTCTTCTCACTGGTATAGCTCTTGTTCACATTCCTCTGCTGTATGCATCATGCACCACAATCACTCCTACCATTATAAGTATCCATTTGAATTGAGCCATCATAAATATGCTAACCAGATTGTGGCATCTCTCAATGCCTTGCGCGCAGGACTGCACTCAACTGCCGTTGCCTTGCATGCATGCAGACACACTCCTGAGCTGCCTGCCTCAGTCTGCCCACTCTGCAGTGCTGCCATCACCCCTCCCCCGTCCACTGTCTGTGCAGCGCCATCGCACGGTCCGCCAGCAGCAGCCGCGCCCTCTCAGCCATGTGCTTTCCCCTCTGCTGCTTCTGCCACTCTGCGCCGCCTGCCTGCTGCCCGTACTGCTGGGACGGAGCCGCAGCGGCAGCAGAAGCGCCAGCAGCAGAAGAAGCAGCAGCAGATGCATGGCATGTGGTGTGGTGTGGCTGGGGCATTGGCACGGGGGAGGGGTTGGGGAGAGAGGCGAGGCAGGCGATGCAGGAGAGGAGGCCCGAGCGGCGGAGGAGAGGCGGGGAGATGTCAAGACCGGCCAGGTACCACAGCAGCACACGCGCTTGGGCCAGCTGGAGGGAGGAGGGGGGGGATGGTTGGAGGAAGAGAATGACTGGGCATCTGTGGGTTGCTGTTGCATGGCAAGTATCCTTCTTCACGCCATTGTGCTCTTAACTGAAATGTCTTGCAGAAAGTCAAGAGATTTTGAAGAAATGCTGAAGAAATCTGCAACCACGCAAGTACTGGGAAAATCAAAGCACACCCAATCGTGGGGCTGGGGCTGGGCAGAGGAGAATGTGTGCTTTTTTTCCGTGAGAGCAAAGTAGTGGGTATTGACCTACCGCTTCCACTGAGAGCAGTGCTTCTTCCAGGCGAGCCTTGATTGATGCGAGCTGGTGCGGAATGGGGAGGGGACACAGTGCAGGTTGTAGAGTGCTCAAGTGGAAAGTAAGCGGGCAACACAAAGAATCACGCCTGCCATCCCGCCTGCCATCACGCCTGCCATCCCGCCTGCCATCCCGCCTGCCATCACGCCTGGACTTCACAGTGCACAGTGCAGCACAGAAGACGCTGAGTGACCCACCTCTGCCATCACGCCGTGCTCCACCTGCTCCTCCTCTCCCTCGCCCGCCCCTCTCTGCTCCCTGCGCTGGGGAGAATGCTTGCCGCCCTCCCCTTCACCGCCCACCCCAGTGCCACTGCCATGGCCACAGGCAGCATCACCATCCTCGCTTCCGCACTCATGTGACGCTTCTGACCTAGCCTCACCAGAGGTACCGCCAAGAGAGGTACCGCCATGAGAGCTTGCAGCATCCGAGGTATCACCGTCAGAGGTATCACCATCAGAGGTATCACCAACCGAGGTATCACCAACCGAGGTATCACCAACCGAGGTATCACCAACCGAGCCATAACCATCCGAGCTACTGGCATCACAGCCACTGCTAGAGCTGCTCCCATGCGACCCAGCAGTGCGGCTCCCAGCCAACCGCTCTCCCGGGCGTTCCTCCGCTCCCTCCCCCCACTTTCCTCCTGCCTCTCCGCCCGTTACAACTCGCCGCCTTCTCCTCAGTGGGGGGCAAAGCCCAATCTCCGCATGGCCTCCCTCTCTGCCTCCCTCTCTGCCTCCCTCCCTGCCTCCCTCTCTGCCTCCCTCTCTGCCTCCGTCTCCGCCCCTACTCTCACCCTCCCTCTCTGGGCGAAGGTCTGGTGCACGGTGCTGCAGCCGCCACCCTGAAGCCCTCTGACTCCTGCTACCCCGCACGGGCTCCCTGTTCCCACCACCACGACCGGCGTCAGTATCTGCGCGTGCAGCCGCCTCCATACTGCAGCCGTGGCTGTCACCACGGCGAGCACCATCGCTTGCCCCTGCCGCCACAGCTCCCCTGCCACCACCGTCAACATAGCCACTTCCATCACCACCACCCCTACCTCCACTGCCACCACTCTCCCCACTGCTCCTGCTGCCCTTCCCACCACCACCACCACCACCACCACCACCACCTCCACCATCGCCACTACCACTGGGCAAGACTTCCAGCATCGCTCTAACCGCCTTGCCTCGTGCCATACGCCCCCTCTTCACTGCCCAACCCTCCCCTTCCTCCTGACTCCCCCTCTCCCTCCCCGTCTCCCCACGCCTCCCCCCTCTCCTCGAATCCACTCCTCCTTCTCCCCCAACCCTTTCATTCAACCGCACTGGCAACTCTCTCCGCCTCCCTTGCCCCTCTGCAGCACTGCCTCTCGCCCCATCCACCCCCACCACCACCCTCCCACCCCTCACCCTCCTCTCACCCCGCACACTCCTTTCGCCCCTGCCTGCCCTCCCCCCCCCTCCCATTTCTACGCCACCAGGGGCAGGCAGGGCCAGCACCACCAGCCTCGGTTGGGCCAAGGAAGCAACCAAGCCTGCAGGCCTGGAAGGTTTGGAGGCTTGCCAAGGCAAGGAATGCGGTTTGGAAGCTTCATGAGTGGTAGGTTGGGATGTGGGGGGTTCTAAAGCGGCTTGAGGCGCTGGCCTTGGGGGGGCAAGAGGCGGGAGGGCAGAGAGAGGGGGCGGGAGGGCAGAGACAGGGGGCGAGAGGGCAGAGAGTGGGGGCGGGAGGGCAGAGACAGGGGGCGGGAGGGCAGAGAGAGGGGGCGGGAGGGCAGAGAGAGGAGGCGGGAGGGCAGGGGGAGAAGTGCTTCCCTGGGTGCAGAGCGCTGCTGCAGCTAGGGCCGTCACGACGCAGGGCTTGGCAGGTGGTGCTGTGGGCTTGGCAGGCGGTGCTGTGGGGTTGGCAGGTGGTGCTGTGGGGTTGGCAGGTGGTGCTGTGGGGTTGGCAGGTGGTGCTGTAGGCTTGGCAGGTGGTGATGTGGGCTTGGCAGGTGGTGCTGTGGGGTTGGCAGGTGGTGCTGTAGGCTTGGCAGGTGGTGCTGTAGGCTTGGCAGGCGGTGCTGTGGAGTTGGCAGGTGGTGCTGTGGGGTTGGCAGGTGGTGCTGTAGGCTTGGCAGGTGGTGCTGTGGGGTTGGCAGGTGGTGCTGTGGGGTTGGCAGGTGGTGTTGTGGGCTTCGCAGGTGGTGCTGTAGGCTTGGCAGGTGGTGCTGTGGAGTTGGCAGGTGGTGCTGTGGGGTTGGCAGGTGGTGCTGTAGGCTTGGCAGGTGGTGCTGTGGGCTTGGCAGGTGGTGCTGTGGGGTTGGCAGGTGGTGCTGTAGGCTTGGCAGGTGGTGCTGTGGTCTTGGCAGGTGGTGCTGTGGGCTTGGCAGGTGGTGCTGTAGGCTTGGCAGGTGGTGCTGTAGGCTTGGCAGGTGGTGCTGTGGGGTTGGCAGGTGGTACTGTGGGGTTGGCAGGTGGTGCTGTGGGCTTGGCAGGTGGTGCTGTAGGCTTGGCAGGTGGTGGTGTGGGGTTGGCAGGTGGTGCTGTGGGCTTGGCAGGTGGTGCTGTAGGCTTGGCAGGTGGTGCTGTGGGGTTGGCAGGTGGTGCTGTGGGGTTGGCAGGTGGTGCTGTGGGGTTGGCAGGTGGTACTGTGGGGTTGGCAGGTGGTGGCAGGCAGAGGAGCGGAAAGGGGGCGGGAGAGGCAAGGGGGGGAGGGAGACGGAGAAGCATGGGCTGGGAGGTCAGGTGCAGATTGAAGCCAGGTGGAGCAACAGTTGCCGTTGATGTATATGCAGACAGGGAAGCAACCGCAGCCGTTGATCGATCAGTAAACAACGGTGCCGACGGGAAATCCCCTGCTCTCTTGCCCACAGCTGCTCGCCCTTGCTCTGCCCCATGTGTTGCTCCTCCTGCTACGTCCATTGCTCTTTCTCCCTCTCGTGCAGCAGACTTTCTCTCCGCAACAAACCCTCGGTGCCTTTCTCTGTCCCTCTCTCCCTCGTTTTCTCCCCCCCTGCATTTCTTCCTGCAGCCGCTCATCTCCCCCTCAAACTCAGTTTGCCTGCCCTCACCATTTCTGTCCATACCCCTCGTCTTTACCCTCTCGTGGCTCCTGTCCTTATCTCCCTCTCGCCCTCCTCTTTCTCCCTCGCGCGTTCTATCTCCTCCCTTCCTCGCCCCCAGCATCTCGAGCCCACTGCTGCAAGCATCGCTCTCGCTCCTGTCCCCATCACCGCTGCCAGAGCTGCAAGCACTGGTGACTCCCCCACTGCTGCCCGCCTGCAACTCGCGCTGTCTGCCATCGCCTGTGACTGTCGCATGCCTGCTTCTCCACCTGCCCTCACTGCCCTTGCCCTCACTGCCCCTGCCGTCGCTACAACTCTGCTTCTCACCACGCGTCTTGCCCGCCATCTCCGCACTTGTTTCACCGCTCTTCCACTTGCTCGCCTCCATCCTGGTTCCCCCTATCTCCCTCCCTATAAGCACATTCACAGACACCAATTTGGGTCCCTTACCCTCCGTTGCTCTCCCTTGGTCGTTCCCTGCTACCTTCCTTCCCTCTCCCCCTGTTTCTCTCCCCGCCTTTTCAGGCGTTCCCCTCCCTACAAGCACGTTCACAGAGACCGTCTTATCCCCGTTTCCCCCTGCTGTTGGACGCCCATCCTTCTTATCTGCGACCATCACTCCCACTCCACCGGCTTCTCTTGTCATCCTTTCCGGCGTTCCCCTCCCTACAAGCACATTCACTGAGATTGTCTTATCTCCTTTTCCCCCTTCCGCTTTCCCTGCAGCCATCACTCCATCACTCCCAGCTTCTCTCCGAACCTTCTCCCGCGTTCCCCTCCCTATAAGCACATTCACGGACACTGTCTTGCCGCCCCCCTCACAGCAGGCAGCCGGCCGCACGCCGCCATAAATAGAGCTGGTGGCTCCCTCCCTGCATGGTCCCCTTTCGCTCCGGCGCAGCAAGGCCACCCGGTCGTCCCCGCCACTGCGCATCCCGCTGCTTGCCTCTCCTTTTTCGCTTGCCCCCGCTCTCACACCCACGCGCCCATCCACCTCCATGCCATAACCGCCACTCCCAACGCCAACCCCGGCGCCTACATCGCCTACCCCTTCGCGCCTCTCCCACATGCCCCCCTCCCCCTGCTCTCCTCTCCATTGCCCTGCCTCTCCTTTCTCCTCCCCATCTCCCTCACTCTCTCCCTCCCTCCCTCCACCCACCACCCCTCCACCGCCCCTCTCCCCCTCCCTCACGTGCCGCCATCCCCGCCGTCTCTTCCGCTGCCCCCACGCCACCCACCCTGCCGCCTCCGCGTCTCCCCTGCCCTCCTGCGATTCTTCCTCCTCCTCCCCCTCGCCGCCTCCCCTCCAGCCCTCTCCAGTGTCCCCCTCTCCCCCTCCCCTCCGCCGCATCTCCCCCCTCTCCTCCCGAGCTGCCCGCTTGCTGCCACGCCGCTGAGAGCCATCCCCGTTAAAGGGCTCAGCTCCGGCATCACTACTGGGCCGACTGAGTTGGTTCGCTCGTTCTTCCCTGTCGTCGCACTCCTTCCGCGCGCCATCCTCCCGCCCCATCGCCAAACCAAGTCCCTTTCTGCTGCACCCGTTGCTCCAAGGCCAGCTTGCTCCAAGGCCGGCTTGCTCCAAGGCCGGCTTGCTCCAAGGCCGGCTTGCTCCAAGCTGGCTTGCTCCAAGGCTGGCTTGCTCCAAGGCTGGCTTGCTCCAAGGACGGCTTGCTCCAAGGCTGGCTCTCTCCTAGGCTGGCTTGCTCCAAGGCTGGCTTGCTCCAAGGCTGGCTTGCTCCAAGGCCGGCTTGCTCCAAGGCTGGCTTGCTCCAAGGCTGGCTTGCTCCAAGGCTGGCTTGCTCCAAGGCTGGCTTGCTCCAAGGCTGGCTTGCTCCAAGGCTGGCTTGCTCCAAGGCTGGCTTGCTCCAAGGCTGGCTTGCTCCAAGGCTGGCTTGCTCCAAGGCTGGCTTGCTCCAAGGCTGGCTTGCTCCAAGGTCGGGTACAACGAGGCACGTGCGTTGCTCCTGAGGCACGATCGCCGGCAGCAGATGGATGGCGCGCGAGCGGAGGCGACGGCGTCAACTCGCGAGGCAACGAGCGACGCGTGACGTGGAGGTACGCGACGATCGCACGGCTCTCGGGAGGGAAGCACCGCTGCGGCCGCGCACGCTGGTGACGGGTCGACGCGTTCAAGCCGATCGACGGTTCTCACCGAAGCGAAGCCCTCTCTGCTGCCGAGCTGACCCCAACACGTTCCTCCGAGGCTCGGTGCGCGAGTCGCCTGCCTTGCTCGCAATGCTCCTGAGCGACCGCCACTCGCGCCGAGGCGCCCAGGAATGCCAGTCAGGTCTGCATCCCAAAATTCCTGAAACCCCTTCTACCCTTGGGAGCATGGGACACCCGTGGGCAACCTCACCCCCCAGACTATCCAAAGTTCAATGCAAGACCCATCGGGGTTACCTGGGGCAGTGGCGACGCGCACGAAAATCGCGAAAATCTCGACAGGTGTCGCGTGGGGTCCGACCAGCCAATAGGGCGCAAGCTCGGTTGGAGGTGACTTGCGGGTAACTTCACAGGTTGGGTCCGGACCAAGACGCTAGCCGAGCCTGAGCACTCTGGCTAGACGACAAGATCACGACTTGAGCCGACAAGCGAATTTCGTGTAGAAGCGTGTCATATGATGGACAGAACAATAGTTTTTTACGAACCCTATATAATGGGGTATGAAAGTGATGGGTAAGCCTCGACTGGCTGACCAATGAATGCATCGTTAGGTTTATACCCATTGGTCTATTTCTTGACTTATCCAAGTTCGAGCGAACCTCCTGGCTTCATGCGTTTTCCCGAAAATTTGTAGGGTGTGCTCGGCGTCTTGGGATTCAAGTAAAGAAGTACTCGGTACCATCAACTCTCGACATATGTGATGTGAAACAGCTTCTTGTAGTGTCGCTTTTGGTACGAAGTTCCGCCTCTATTCGGCTCACTTGGATACGACCCAGATAACAACACCAAATGGGTATGTCAGACACGTTTTGTGGCGACATCGTCCCGAGCCAACCTCTTGTTTCTGTTCAGGTTTTCTATTCCCATGAGCATAATCTTTCTCCATCTTCCTCCCGTACTCCCCCTCCTTACCGTTCCCCTATGCCAGTCGCGCAGCTTCTCGCGGTGCACGTCGGGCGCGTGAGCTTCCCGCGATGCACGTTGGGCGGGACGCACGAGCTACTTGCGGTGCACGTCAAGCGGGATGCGTGAGCTTCTCGCGGTGCTCGCCGCGCGTCCCTATCAAGCTCAAGTGGCTCCTCACCGTATTCAGGTATGATTGTAGCACTTCCTCATTGCCCCCCTTTTCGTTATCCCCCCCCCCCCCCCCCGCCCGCCCTTCTTGCGTCTTTTTTGCCGCACTCTGTCTCCCCCCCTTTCCTCGACATCCTCATTGTCACCCCCTCCCATCCCTCCCTCCCTCCCCCTCCCCTCCCTGTATAGCTGGCCTTTATTCGTTGGTAATTTCGTGCAACTGCCACGGGGTAAGTGGGCGTCTGCGTGGAATTACTTGGTGTTGTAAACCGTTTCAAACCCAGACTTACGCGGGCCTGTGCAAGGATGGATGCAGGCCACTCTTTCACACCTGATATTGTGCTTGGCAATGTTCGTGTGTGCAGCGAACGGCTACCAGCCAGATGGCCATGCAGCAGCAGTGCTTGCGTAGGCTGGGAAGGAGGTGTTAGTGGTATGCGTAGGCAAGCTAACCTAATGCGCTAAGTTGGCGTTACGAGGAGAAAGAATCTGCGCAAAAACCCTAGGTAATTGCAGCTAAATTAACCACCTTGTTTTGCATGCTTTGTGTTGTGATAAAACGGATTGTAAGGCGATAAGCTAAGCTTTTGTAATAACTACATGTGCGTAATAAGGAGGTTTACAACGGGTCACAATGAAGCTGCCCTCAGTTCTACAGTAAATTTATAACTACTGACATACCCGTTAATGTAGTAGTTGTGCTACTATCGAGGTAAGTAATTAAACAGTGGATATATTGAGTGTAGTGATTTTTTTGTATCGGGGCGGCAGTGACGAAGATTGAGTGAGCTATTGTTTTGCGCATAAATGTCATCATTTTCTCGAGCAAGTGTACCAGGCTGTCTGAGATTCCAGATAACGGGGATTTTTTCGTCTGACTACGACAAACCCGCCATCTAGGCCAATCCCCAGCATCCACATGTCTCAGGAACTTAGGAGACTAGGTTCCTGCAGTTAGGACACTAGCTCAGCTAGGATACTAGGAATGCCGCCATGGAATGGCGTGAGGAAAGTAGATCTAGGAGCGGGTAGGAGAATGTCGAGAAAGAAGAGAGTCGATTAGGAAGAGAGAGGAGTACAAGGAGGGGTTTGTACCCTCTACTGAAAGGTTCAGTAACAACCTACCAAGCCTATATTAAATTATAACTTATATAATTTTAACAACATGTGCCCACTGGGCCACCTATGCCATCCTGTCCCCCCAAGGAATGCACGCATAATAAATTTGCGATGCGGGGCAAGAATCCTGACTCAGGTTGCTGCCACCGTTCCGTCTATTAACGCATGAGCTGGCTCGCTGCCAGCTTTCACGCAGTGCGCGTGGGCAGCATTCCGCCAGCGCATAGCCTGTAAGGTAGAAAAGCCGCCCACGCCGAAGGCCAGTGCAGCGTAGGTTTCTTGCTAAATCAGGAACCGAGCCATGCAGAATGTCGAGGCGCCATTGGCTAAATGCAGCTCAAAACCTCCCTTTCCTCAATACATGTCCCATCGGTCTGTCCTTTCCTAGCATTAGCAACAGCACCTGTTCGACACCTCCGTGCCTCGACTCAGCCTTCTACTCTGCGCTCGTGTGTGCCCCTTCCTCAGCCTACAACGTCCTCAGTGCGTGTGAGTGATGGCATCCGCTGCTGGTTCCTCAAAGCCAGTAACAGATTGCCCCACCGTTCAGCCCGTAGTTGACGCTCCCCTGAAGGTTTCTGGCATCGACCTGCTCACTCACGCAGCTCCTGTTGCCACGTCGGCACCTCCTCGCACTGCATCTACTGTAGCCGCCCTGAGTAACCCTCTTCCCCCGCTAGATACCGAACCTTGGATCACTCTCGTCCCTAAAGGCGCGTCGTCTCCTACGTCAGAGCTGCCTCATAGTCCTTCCACCCATGTCGCGCCAACGGTTTCTGCCGAGCCGTCCGTTTGCCTTTTCGGTGGTCCGGTCCTTCTTGTGAGGAAGTCTGGAAAGGTCCGCTACCAGCAGCGGAAGCTCACGTTTGGACGCACGGCGTCCCCCGCCTCCATGCCCACTGTTCGCCTCGGCGATTAGCGCCCCCGCAGTGACCCTCGCCCCAGCTCGTCGCCCGATGATGACGGCCTGTTTCCCTTGTCGCTGGAAGAGCTGCAGCTAAAGGCGCAAGAGCAATGGCAGCGTCATTTCCCCTAGCTTATCATCTCGGATACTTCGGAGGGACGCCCCTGATGAAGTTAACCGTCTGCATGGTGCACGGAGATGATCCTGATTACCAGTACGGGCAGAACGGGGAAGGCGGGATAGACATTCAGAAGCAGACTATGCGAAAGCATCAACACAGCACGAAGCACGAGGCCGCGATGGTGCGCAAGGAGCAGCGTGATGGGAAGAAGGCGAAACAGCGATCCATCAACGAGTTCGAAAACGGCGACACGGAGGTGAAGTGTCTCAAGCACCTTATGGCAATCGTCCACTTCATTTGCAAGTCCGATGCCCCTGTACAAATGTTTGTTTCGCTCGCTCAATTCATGGCAGATCAAGGAACTCCTGATCTGCCAAAGAAGGAGCGCGGCACAGGTCAAAGTGAGTATGTCCAATGCTTTAATTGAACTCTACTGCAGCATGGGTGTTGATTGTGATTTATCCGAGTGTCGTACACCTCTCTCTAATTCCGTTTTTTGTACTATTTCATTGAATAGGTACGGCTTCAACCAGCTAGGGGAAAGCGTGGCCGGCTACCTACGTGCAAAGTAGATGAATCACATCAAGGCCGGCCCCTTCATCGGCATTCAACTAGACGAGAGGGCGTCGCGGAAAACACATGATTGTGTACCTGACTTTTCTACGCGAGGGGGTTGTGGTGACAGAGTTTTTCGCGCACTTGACGGTCGAGAATTGTGACGCGGCATCGCTGCAAGCCGTGCTGTTGACGCACCTGGAGGCACAAAGGGTGGACATCAACTGGTGAGCATCACCCTCGGGATGGTGGTGAGATCGCTGGCCGACATCCTCGGCCGCTCGATCGTGGTGCACTCACACGTCAAGGAGCTTCAAGAGGTCGTCATCGAGACCAACCTCGAGATGCAGGGGATATACAACATCCTTTGGTTGTCTCGGGGTGAGGCCATCCAGCGACTGGTTGATGTGTTTCCTGCTGCTATTCTGTTGCTGAGGGAGTATGACACTGCAATGAATGACCTTGTAGTTTCTTTGAGGTTTCATTTTCTATTGTATTTCCTGGCTGGCGTTTTGAAGGAGCTCAATGCCCTGAATCTCATATTCCAACGCCGTCAGGTGAGGGTTTTAACATTGATATTAAGCTTAACATGAAATGTTAATAAAAGTTTCCCTTTCTATTTCTCTAGACAAGTCGATGTCACTCAGGTGCTTAGGATGGTAGACAACACCATCCTGGCACTGTGGGGCCCCTACGTCAACCACGGCTCCCAATTTGGCCCCACTGAGGTGAACTTGCACGATTTCCTGCAACTGTATGCGTCGGGGTTGGACGTGACGATTCATGGTGTCGATGCAAATGGAGCACCGACCACACACACGTACGAGCTTTCGACAGAAGACATTGAGGGGCATATTAGTGGCGGTGACGTGGGCTCACTGCAAGAGCTTGCTACTGCAGTCGTGCTGTCCATCATCAGCAAGCTCCAAGGACGGCTCAAAGATCTCGCCTCTCTCAATGGCACGCGGCTATTCAAGCAAGGGTTGTACCCCAGGACGATAGCAAAAAGGGAGCACAAGTTTCTAGAGTGGTTGCAATCCCTTCATTGCCTATGGAAGCGCGATGCTTCCGCCCCCGACACCCTGTCTGGTAAGCTTTCATGGTCTAGTAACCTTGTTGGATGCCATTTGACGTAACCTGATGTAACCTGATCCAAGTAAAGCCCCTCTCTTGACATCGCATCTCTAATTCCGATAGCTCTATTCTAACCCTGATATATCACTGTACCATGTGTAGGAGTACACTGGGGAAATGCGAAGAGAGAGCTGAGCAGTTTCACCACCATCATGTTGACCCACCAAGACGACCTCGACTTCCACGCCAGCTTGAAGCACATGCTGTCCATGCCCGACTAGAAGACATCCAACCCCAACGTCGTCAACCTCTGGATATTCGTGG